TAATGTTAATTGGAATAAGACGTGCCTATGCCATTTATGTAACACACATATTTTGCATCATGTATATATTGGGAATGTGCAATCTTGGCTTGTGTCTAGACACAAGTGGGCATACGTAACCAGCGCTACAAAAACCTGTATGTGGGTCAAGCCTTTATTTCCCATGCAGAAGTAACTGCTGAACAGGGATCTCATTACATGCCAAGCATAAGCACTGGGGTGCCGCAGGAACTTCTCGTAAATCCATTTCACCATATGCAAATTTAATACATGGCCTATGCCCAATCATTTGGCAAAACAAATCCAGGCAAGCACTCAGGAGCATCCTACAAATGAGAGGTGCTGCCTTCAGTAGCTGCAGGTCCATGGATCATATTGCAACCCCAATTAACCAGGTGCTTTCCAGATGAGTTTGGCTACAACTAGCATGGTCATGGTGGCTGCAGCTGATGGGAATTGTAGTCCAAAACATATAGAGGGCACCAGGCTGATGAAGGTGATGCACTGTGCTGCAGTTAATAATATGTATTTAAACTGAATCCTCTCTCAAAATATTTTGGATGTGCTAGTCCACCAAGCAAAGATTATTGGCACTGGTCTTTTGGGGATACTAAATTCATTGGTTCTGAAGGACTGCCATCATAAGAGGAAACCAGCCTGTTAAGTTTCCATAGGTACAGTAAAACTTACCATAGCAATTCATTTTGGATTCTATATTTAGTCATACTGATGGCTGTGAAGAAGGCCAATGGAAAGAAGCAAAAATGCTGTGTTTGTTTTTTGTAGGTTTCCCCCACCCAAAAGCAAGACTATATGACTACTAAGGTGTTATATGAACCTTCACTACACTAAAAAAGTTTCTAATCCTAGGTTAAATTGCGATGAACAGTGAGATCCTGCCCATAACACTCAGGGCTTTTCCACATTTACCTTTTGCCCTGCCGTTTGCAGGCAGAGGTCAGAGCTTTAACGCTCTGTGTCTGAGCATTGAGGGTTTTGGTTTTTTTGCACAGAGCTTTCCCTGCAAAAACCTGCTCTTTAAAGCTGAATCAGAGCAAATGTCAATTTGGGTTTTCCACAGATTGTTGTTTGCGCCAACTGAACTTTAAAGAGTGGATTTTCACAGGGAAAGCTCTGGAGCAAAAAGAAGGGCGCTCGGACACAGAGCTTTAAATTGTGGACTGTGCCTGGAAAGAGCAGAGGAAAGGTAAGTGTGGATAAACCCTCAGATAACAAGCTTCTAGTGTATAAATACTGTGCAATGTCCATCTTATAGGGGCAACTTGCACCTAGGCAATAACTGATCAAAACGTGGACAAGGCGCAGAAGAGCACTAGAAGAGAGATAGCTCAGATGGTAGAGCATGAGACTCAGGGTCTGGGCTTGAGCCCCACGCTGGGCAAAGATACCTGCATTGTAGGGGGTTGGACTAGATGACCCTGGGGGTCCCTTCAAATTCTACAATTCTATGATTCTAAGTAGTCTTGTAAAGAGACTAACCACCAGCCAAGGACAATCAGAGATGGACATCCTATTAATAAGCTCATTGTGACAGGTACATTTCAAAGTTCCTAAATGCAAACATAGCAATAGCATAATAAACGTCAATAATATAAAGGAAGAAAAATCAAAAGTACCATCAGCTAGCTCAGCTTCAGATTTTAAACCCCAAGGCCTCCAAAACAATTGCTAGAAATAACATCCTTCTAAGAGCAAACCCACTTCTCTTGAGTGCAGATCCTTACATAGCCAAAATAATACCATTAACACACACAAAGGGATGGATCGGCAGATTTGAAGGAACCTCAAGATTTGCAGAAATACAAAAAAGTTTTAGGGGGGGGAGCTAATGGGGAGTAATCCCCAAGCAGCCCAGTGATGACTAAGTATGCTGAGTGACCACAGAATGCCAACTCATTGTTTGGGGTGAGGGGATGGAATTAAATATCCTGGGGGAAGGCAGGGCTGGGTATCTGGAACCCCCGATGGGAACAATCCACTCCGCAACGTCTTGTTGCAGCTTGCTTTTCTTTTATGTGATTTCACAGCCCGCTGCTCTAACCACTGGGCTGTACAATCTCAGGCATATTCAGGTAGGTGTGTGACCTGTTAAAACACCAAGGCTGGCAGTCAAGGTAAAAAATATATGTATATAAAAATAAGCGAGACAGGAACATTCTTCCGTCAGCTATTTTAGGAACAGGAGGTTTCGAAGTCAGTAGTGCAGTGGTACATAAATTGCGATCACTGAAGCAGAGCAAAGCGCTTTCTGCAAAAGAGGCACACTGCCCTTTTTAGTAAGACAAGACTAGAACAATGCAAGCGGGACCTGCAACTAAATGTTGCGGTGCATCCCCAGTGCCTAAGAGGAGCGTTCCTGTTCCAAGGCTTCAGACAAGCTGGAAAAGGAGCCTTACAGTCCTTCTGCAGACTTCGAGGAGGGGAGGGAAGAGTTACAGGAGGAAGGCATAAAGAATGCCTTTCTCACACACCCCACCCCACAGCCCCCCAAACCAAAAGAGGGCTAAAGGGTTGCTAGCTGCTTCAAACCTGAGTATTTTATAGGTATCCAAGTGGGATCTGTAACAAAGTGTTGCAGTGTGGCTGCCAGCCAGCCACGCCCCTTTCCACCCTGTCTTCCCTCCTTGCTCATTTTCCATTCCCTCCCCAACGGTATGCCTGCATTCTGGGCTCACTGAGAATACTGTCCCCATGGGGGTGTTTTTAAGTCTGCCCCCCGCACTTACGATTCCCTTCCGCCTAAATATTTTTAGCACTTCTGCAAACCTCAGGGTTCCCCCAAACCTGCCGACACTTCTTTCTCAGAGGACCTCTTTGGCTCCAGGCCTGTCTGCACTGGTCACCTGAGATGGCTATTAGAGGGGGGTGATGACGTGTCTTAAGCTAAGCTGGACAGAGAAGCAAAGCTGCAACTAAAAGGGGGTGGAGGGAAAACAGGACATCTCAAGAAACAGATTTACCCCTGTGTTTTCCATCCAAACCAGCAGGCAGTTTCCCGGGATGTATTTGCACAGTGTGTTGCTGTCTCCTGCCTCTCATTTAAGACTTCCCCACCCCCTGGTTTCCAGAAACCTGAGGCCTTAGGCATGCACACAGGTATTTGTTTATCCATGCACATCCAGCCCCACAAGTCACCCACCCTCCCTGTGCCATGGAAGCCTGAGGTCCATTGCAGGGTTGCACACAGTCCCCCCCCCCCACAAAGCTATAATTCACGGCATCCTTAGCAAACGACAGTTTCCATGATTCTTTGTGGCGGAGCCATGTGCTTTAGATGCAGCGTGTCATGAGAACTTCTGCCGACATGCTGCTTTAAGTGCTTTCCTTCCCAGCAGTGCAGCATGACTACAAAGGCCTTTTCGGTGGTGGCCCCTCTGAGTTCTGAGTTCCCCAAGAGGCTGCACCTGACAACAATTTCACAAGTTTTTAGGTACCAGCCAGGCATTCTTAATCACCTGGGCATTTTTGTGTGTGTGTGTCATTAATTGTTTCAATGTATACAGCTCTGAAAAAACTGAATTTGACAAAAGGGTGGCACATGTGAAGGCCAAAGAGCAGGCAAGCGCCCTTCTCTTGCTAGTAGTGATCAGCCAGGGCCCACAGCAATTCCCTTCTGCAGAGGCAAAAAGGGAGAGGCAATTAAGTCAGGGCTGGCTGCATAACAGTAGCATCTTTGCCCTTCTGCTTCTCTGACATTTTCAATTCATAACTCAAAAAGCACCCAAAGCCTCAAGAGATTTTAGGCCATTTTAAAAGCTGCTAGTGATTTGGAGAGGGCGAGAGGGAGGAGATGCTTGTGGCTCTCTTTCTTCTTCGCTGAAATACTCACAGGCACCCCCCCCCACTTTGTATTAGAAAGAATCAGCAATTGTGACTGTCACAAAGTGATGCACATATTAGGGGTTGCCAGTAAATCTCCAGCTTGTTGTACACGATACCACCCAGGCCCCAGAGCCTTGGAAGGAAGCGATAAAATAGCCAATTTATGCAGGCTCTTAAATACACAATGCAAAGTCACAGTGCCTGCAGCTGTTTTTTCCTGTTCTGTGTTTATGGCAGGGCACTGAAGTTAACCACTGTAGAAAACATACCAGGCCTGCTCCCCCTCCCAGACTTTTCCTGCACGTTGCTGACAATGCCTCCCTTTGCTACAGGCAGGAAATGTGCCTGCTCCAACTATGCATAGCGCAAGCATGGAATTTGGCACCCGGGGCTGGAATTAAGTCTCGAGAAGCTAAGCTTCTATCCCTCATTGTCGCAGAGAACAGTTTCAAGCTGTGATGAAAACTCTTCAAATCTGAGACATGAAAGTGCATCAGGTCCCATGAATCATGGAGGCAGCCTTATTTAGATCCACTGAAGAAGCACAAGCCTTGCTAGATCAAACCAACAGCCAATCTGATCCAATAGCCTGCTTCCAGAAGTGGCCAACAGGATGCCTTTGGGAATCCCACAAGCAGGATATGAGTTCAGGACCTTTCCTGTTCATGTTCGCCAACACCTGGTATTCAGAAGCACAATGTCTCTGATCCTGGAAGTACTATGTAGTCAAGACTAGTAACCTTTATGCTCCATGAATTTGCCTATTCCCCTTTGCTTTAAGTTGGTAGCCAGCATACTTTATCCAAAAGCCAGCATAGCCAGCCAGCATCACAGCTTATGGCAACAACAGTAGTGGCAAGTGTCCCTTGAGACTGGTGTAGCAGATAGCAGGGAGGTCAAAGGTGGACAGAACCAAAGCGAACTAATTCTGCTTTTGTCCCCATCCTTCTCCCTGCTCAGTTCTGCAGGAGGTAATACTGAGACTAAAGAGGAGGAAGCTGACAGCTAAGGTCGCAGTCTGGACTGGCAGATGGAGGTGAGGGCAGACAGAGGCTGCTGGGCCAGTGCTCAAAAGGACCAGCCTCCCCTGGGTAGCAAGTTCCATCCTTTAACTATGCCCCGTGTTGACAAAGCACTCCTCTTTGATCTTGTCCTACCATGCAGCATCACTGGACGCACTATGAGAGAGGAAGAAGAACGACTGCTCACTTTCTCCAGATATCACCTCCAGGATACTGATCGACAACCCTAAATCAGAAATGAGACAAGACACTACTTTGGCTTTCAGTGTTTTGCAACAAGAGAGAGCGTTGTAGTTAAGTGGACATTGGAGGGGAAACTCTATGGAGGCAAGACACCATGGCTTGCATTTCATGCAGCCATAATTGTCCCATCTGCACACGGATTTACACTTGTGCAATGGGATGTTCCTCCTCCCCCTGCACATAGACTCATCGAATTGTAGAGTTGGAAGGGACCCCAAGGGTCATCTAGTCCAAACCCCTGCAATGCAGGAATCTCAACTAAAAGCATCCATGACAGATGGCCATCCAACCTCTGCTTAGAAATCTCCAAGGAAGGAGAGTCCACTACCTAGTGTGGGAGTTCCTTCCACTGTCAAACAGCTCTTGCTGTCAGAAAGTTCTTCCTGACGTTTTGTGGGAATCTCCTTTCTTGTAATTTGATTCCATTGGTTCAAGTCCTACCCTCCAGAACAGAGGGAAACAAGCTTGCTCCATATTCCATGCGACAGCCCTTTAGATATCTGTCTAGCCCCCTCCGCAAATCTGCTCGACAGGGTTTGGAGATCCCCCAGAACAGATTTACGAGGCATGCAAAGGGAAGGAGGGTGGGGGGAGCTGATTTGCACAAGTGTAAATCCTCATACTGACAGGACAGTTATTTAGCACTGTTTTTGATACAAGCCCATGCCCTTTCGAACCATTCCCAAGAATCCTTAATAACAAATACCTAACATTTTGTTTGAAGTTTCATCTACAAAATTTGATCCCCATAGCAAAACCTCTATAGCAACAGTCAAGGACAAAATTAAGAGTCCAGCCTCCTCCCTCTTCCTGGCACCATTTCCTGAATCTGGCTGGGCAGCCTCCTTGAGGATGCTGGCAGGAACATTGCTGCCTGGGCATTTAGGGCTGTCTCAAAGGAAGAGAACTCCTTTAAACACTTTCTGATTGCCTTGTGCTGTAAGGAAGTGGGCAAAACTCCCTCCTCTCCAAGAAACCCCTTCAGATCTTGACTCTGTACATAGAGAGAAGAGGAGCATGCAAAGAGCCAAGAAAGTGTTATGTGCAAAAACCAAGGACAAAAAAATGTTAGCTTCATAAAAAATCTACATGTGTCTGCAACAGAAGCATCTATGAAGCTAGCAGTGAGTGGTAACGAGCCTTTCATATTTGGTTTTTCAGGGTCAAAGCTACTTCCTCATCCAAAGAGAAAAAGGATGGGTGTGGCAGGTGAAGAGGCTGGCCACATGAAGGAAGCAGGCAGCCACCCGTGTGGTTGAAAACAAGACACTTCTAAGGGAAGAGCAGAAGGGGAGAAGCTGGGAGGATTTACATTAAATCACGGGTGAAAACAATTTTTTAAAAAAACAGCCACTATGATCTAAAGGTTAGAGTAGTTCCAGCCTAACATTTCCCCCAATAAGGTTATGGCTTGAAATATGATTCCTTTTCAAATAGCTGAGGGCAGAACCATAAGGCAAAAAGGAAAACCAGACTCTGTCTTCTTTTAGCTGTTTCTTTTGAAACCTTTGCTCAGCAGCAGGCTGTTACGTCAAACTGAGTTCTAAGAAGCCCTAGTAGCAATGGGCGGCTAGATCTAAAAGCTCAGCCCTTCCCAGGTTTACAGGTGTTTTCAACACAGGTTTGGCATTCTATAAAACCATGTATAGGAGGCCCAACTGGTGCAGTGGCCCAACAGTGAACAAAATAATTTTTGCTATGCAGCAAAAAGAAATTTAATAGCTTTCTGTGGGACATATTGACAAGTAGCTAGCTCAGCATCCTATCTCTCCCATATCAGCCATTTGCATGTTTTAAGGAAGAAGTATTCCTATCCATCACGCTCTCTGCCTCTGGCAAGGATTAGCATCCCTGTTTAACAGGAAGCATGTAGCAGCCCCAGGCACTGAGAACTCCCAACTACTGCCAGCTCCCACATTTTGACTGTTTAACCGCTAGGGCCATACATAACAGAAACAGAGACTGCTTGGTCCTTAGAAAAGAGTCACCAGTGTTTTTATTTTCTATGAATTTGGCATCCATGTTCCCAGCTGTGGTTATATTGTTTGCCAGTGCACCACCCCCTTCCTGGAGATTTCAGAGATGATCTGCAAAGAAAGCATTTCATGTTCATCACTGAAGAACTTCAGGGCTGGCCTCTGTTAATGATGGTGGAATGGGCCATCTCAAGAAACAGGTGGGAAAATGTCATGAAAGTAGTGGTGGGGAACATGTGGACCTCCAGATGTTCATAGAATCGTAGAGCTGGAAGGGACCCCAAGGGTCATCTAGTTCAACTCCCTGCAATGCAGGAATCTCAACTAACACATCCATGACAGATGGCCACCCAACCTCTGCTTAAAAATCTCCAAGGAAGGAGAGTTCACCACCTCCTGAGGGAGACCATTCCACTGTCAAACAGCTCTTACGGTCAGAAAGTTCTTCCTGGCATTTAGTCGGAATCTCTTTTCTTGTAACTTGAAGCCATTGGTTCAAGTCATACCCTCTGGAGCAGGGGGGAACCAGTTTGCTTCATCTTGCTGGATAACAAACTCCCATCATCACTGATTCCTGGCCAAGCTGGTTCAGGCTGATGGGACTCCCCATCCCTGCACTACTTTTGTCATGAAGACTGGCATCACTGCAACAGGCTGCCTAAGTATCTTCTAGTTTGGTGAAGGACGGAAGATCCCAAGACCCTCTTTGCCAACACTCCCCTGCTCAAACCCACAACCGCCCAGGCCAAGTGGAAGGGCTTCAGCTTTCCTGAAGAAGGGAAGAACCTTCTCTCTCAGCTCATGAAGAATTATCTACAAAAAAGGGAACGGAGCAATTACTAAAGCTGTCTTTATTACAGATCTACCAAAAAAAAAGGGGGGGGAAAGATTCCAAACAATGTTTCTCTTCATTTGGTTTATAAACAGCAGCGCACAGGGAGGGGGCGTGTTGCAGCAGTGGCCAAAGAGAGCCGCATGATTTAAAAGTACCCCTGGACAGAGAGGGTGGGAAAGGACGCAGACTGGAGAGATGTAGCAGGGGAACTGGTTTTTTCTAAGAAAGTCTGCCACCAACTCTCACGGGCAGCAGCTATTAATTGTACAGGATCTGGACTGGAGCAGGCTGAGGGAAGCTTCTCCCCTGTCTTTGTTGGGAGTCTTCCATTTCTTGCCATGGCTATTTGCAAGCAGGCAGCAGGCTCTATTCCTCTTCTCCCACGGAGTCACCAGCCTTCCCATCAAGCTCAGAACCACGGCTGTTTGTCCCCACCTCCCAAGGAGAAGGCTGAGCTAGAAGGGTGCAGCCTGTTCCCTCCCAAAACCGGACACTAGCCCAACTTCTCCAAGGCAGTTCCACTGTCCCTCATCTCCTCCCAAGGAACTAGGCTTAAAAACAAAAGGGGAAAAAGTCCTGGGGCATATTCACACACTTGGCCTGGCTTGCTCAAGGTCCCATAAGTTTCTTGAGGAAGGCTTCCAGCTGATCCTCATCTTTTATCCCTACAAACTTATCCACCACATCGCCGTTCTTCATAGCCAGGACTGTGGGCACTGCTGAAACCTAGGAACAAAGAAGGAAAGATAGAATGATAGCTGTGCTCCACTGACCTGTGAACATCATTTCAGAAGTCAAAGCAAACATTAAAACAAAGGTGGGACGCTGTAAAAAAAGGTGAATGATTAATGTTTCCTCACATTGGAGAGCTCCTAAGAAATTGAACAGGATCACTTGGATTTGGGGTGGGGTGGGGGTTGTTTTAATTTTAGAAAGATGACTGTCAAAGGCGTACAGCTCCAGCATGGAGTTTGCATTTGGCAGAAAGGAAGTTTCTGCTGGTACTCTGATGATAACAAATGCACTTCCTGCTTGGAAAACAGAGTAAGGCAGGGATGGCTAACCTATGACCCTCCAAATATGACTGGACTACAGCTCCCAACAGGCCCAGCAAGAACGGTCTGAGGCAAAGGTCAGGGGAAGATGGGAGTTGTAGTCCAACAATATCTGGAGGGCCACAGTTTTCCCCATTCCTGGACTAGAGGGAAGGAGGAAACTGCCCCAGTGTGAAGCTGCACTGCCAGTTTTCTGAAAAGCAGGCTCTCTGGAAGAGGAAGAGCTGACCAGGATGCACTCTGCGGCTGCTTAAAAGCTCACCATGCAGTTTGTGTAGCTGTGCAGAGGCATGGCATCTGACTGTCACCTCTGACCGTGTGGTAAGAAAGTGTTACTTCCCCCCACTCCCTGCCCAGTTGCACAGGTTTATAGCTACACAGAACTTATAGTACTGCTGGAGGGTTTATGGTTATAGCTTTCCAGACAGGAAGCTTTTAAGCAGCTCCTCCTTGGCTCCTGATCATCTATTTCTAGCCCACAACTGACATCAAGTTCACATATAGCAATACTCCAGTTCTGCAGATGTCATTGACTGACTTCTTATCCCTAAATGTGGTTTTAACTGTGCCCAAACAGAAGCAGAGAGAAAAATGGATGTGTCCCACTTTGCGGTGTCAAAGTGGTTGAAGAGTGAATATGACAGACTTACAACATCCAGGATATGTGTGTGTGTGTGTGTGCTTTAGATAGAGGAGGCTCTACATTTGCTTATTTTGTACAACCATTTCTGCCTGTCACAAGGAGGGCACTGAATCTCTGTCCTCTGGAATCCCACCCCTCTGCCTTCAAAGGGTTGTTCAGAGATTCGCTAGGCGGTTTCAAACCTGAATTTGCATCCAAAGTAACTACAGTGGTACCTCAGGTTACATACGCTTCAGGTTACATACGCTTCAGGTTACAGTCTCCGCTGACCCAGAAATAGTACCTCGGGTTAAGAACTTTGCTTCAGGATGAGAGCAGAAATCGTGCTCTGGCAGCGCGGCGGCAGCAGGAGGCCCCATTAGCTAAAGTGGTGCTTCAGGCTAAGAACAGTTTCAGGTTCAGAACGGACCTCCGGAACGAATTAAGTACTTAATCCGAGGTACCACTGTAACATGCTTTATATCAGGGCTGGGGGAACCCATGGCCCTCCAAATGTTGTGGGACTCTCCATCAGTCCCAGGCAGCATGGTCAATGGCCAGGAACGATGATGGGAAATGCAGTTCAACATCTGGTGGGGGGATATCCAACCTCTGCTTTAAACACAGACTGAGGCCTTCAAATTTCTTAAAGGGTCGCGCACAACTACTGAATACACATAGCCCAGCCACCAGTATATTTATTCTAAGAGTGGTGAAGCAG